CCAGGAGATTATCATGCATTATTTTTGTCCGAGATACTTTTGGTGACGATGGTACATACACAAAATCAGAATCTGTTGGGCTCCACACGCGAATGTGACGTCACGTCTACGTTTTGTTGCAAACACTAAAGACTGATATCTTTTGATAGAATTCCGGCAGAAAGGCAAAGTTTTCAATGTTGTTCTTGGAGTTTTTTTACATATTATAAACCAGATACCTACGTATTTTTGGTTTACACCCCATAAAAGCTTTTTATGATATGAGCAGTTTACAGCTTTTATCTACTTCATTTTCATTATTTTTCTATTTTTCTCTGATGCCTTGTAAATTTTGTGAATTAACTGTTTTTTGCTAAATAAAGATCTATTATTATTATAAACCAAATAGAAGTTTATAACAAAATAATAAGTGACTCACTCTCACTCTCACTCTTTAGACAATTTTTTTGTACAGAGTATAGGGGCAATCTCTGATAACGAAGATAAGTCTATCTAGTCCCCAGAAAAAGGGAAATATATCGCCAATGAAGGAGTTTAAGGGCCAGTATTTCAATGTTACCTTAAAACCAAGACTTACCTAAGGTCCCCTTAACGTTAAGGTGCACTTGAAATCAGTTCATTCAGGTGGCTTAAGATCCACCTTGAATTAAGGGAACTGTGATATACGGTGAAACTTGTATTAAGGATGACTTAACGTTATTCTGTACCTTAAAGTGATATTGAATTATTGAAATACCGGCCCCAAATTCAGCTGCCGTCTGTGCAGTGTGCATTGCATTGGACATTTTTGGAATAGGGACAATTGTTGAGATTTTTAGGTGTTTTGTGTTGGTACTTTGCACTCTACATGAATTAATTACCTATGTGTAGTAGTGACGCCTTTAAATTTCTAAAACAGTTTTTTGACAAAGAGATACTTGGCCCATCTGGGCTATCTTTATTGGCCATTTCAAAAATACGTTTTATGAGTTGATCAAAGTTTATCAATTTAGGGCCGATATTTCAATAATTCAATATCACTTCAAGGTACAGAATAACTGATGTGAAAATGTTGGATTAATTTTCTTCGCTTTTCCATCCAAAGCCGCGTTTCGATCTATCAGATCTCATCAGTGTGGCTAGAAAAGCAAAGAAAACCAAACCAAGCTTAGTGCCTGCAGGCAAAGTGGAAGTAATACGAAGTAATGCAAAATTCGCTCTTCGTAGTACAGAATACGTTAAGTCATCCTTGATACAAGTTTCACCGTATATCAAAGTTCCCTTAATTCAAGGTGGATCTTAAGCCACCTGAATGAACTGATTTCAAGTTCACCTTAACGTCAAGGGTACCTTAGGTAAGTCTTGATTTTAAGGTTACATTGAAATACTGGCCCTTAAACTCCTTCATTGGCGATATATTTCCCTTTTCTTGGTATTTATCTGCGACCCTTTCTAGTGGTATAGACTTATCTACGTTATCAGAGATTGCTCCTATACTCTGTACAAAAATATTATCTAAAGAGTTAGGGATTTCTAGTGGGTCACTTATTATTTTGTTATAAACTTCTATTTGGTTTATGATTTTAAGTTGTAATTGAAAATCGCCCAATTTTTAGTATTTTATCATTTTCTACAGACATAATTTCTGACAGTTTGAGAGGTAATTAATGACCGCTTGGCCTAATAAATTAGAGTAAATGATAAAAATTCAAAAACATTCAATCAACTTTCTCAGGGAATATTTTTCTTTGAGTAAAACTAAAATAATTTCAATCAAGAAGATATACAAAGCTGACGATCATCGCAGTAACTGAAGGATTGGAACATCAATATAGTTAAGGAAAAATAATTCCTTCTGATACTTTAAAATATATTTTTCTCAAAATCAGAAATGATTGTATTCATATTTAAGTAATAAAATTTTAATATTTAAGTAATAAAATTTTAACTGCATTTCATGTAAATATTCGAAGCCTAAAAAAAAACTTTAACGATCTGGTTGGTTTTTTTGAGGCATACAATCTTAAATACTGCGATATTATTGTTCTCACAGAATCTTGGCGGCTCGAAAGTGGTGACAATTTCTGTATTGATGGTTATTCTATGTACTATAATAATGCAGATTTCAAAAAAAATGATGGCACAGTAGTCTACATAAGATCCAATCTAAAGCATTTGGTAACGCACACAAAACTTAGTCTGTCAAAAGTCACCCTTACTAATGTAGAATTAAGTATACGTGACGTCTCTGTTAGGATTTCATGCATTTATAGGCCGCCTTCTGCAAGCACACCACATTTTCTCTCGGACATTGAGGCTTATTTCTCAGCCCCATTCGAAAATCAGGTTGATGTCCTGATGGGGGATATAAATCTGAACCTACTTAATGAGAACAATAATGAAGTTGTGACTTATACCTCAATATTAAATCACTTTGGCTTTGTCTCCACCATTAATTCTCCTACAAGAGTTACAACTGATTCTTCAACTAACCTTGATCATATATTTTTAAGAAAGGGCGTAACCAACCTAAAGTACTCATCTTTCGTGATCCAGTCTGCTATTACAGACCACTATCCGACCATGTTCAACATAAATAGTCTTAGCGGAATTCAGGCAAATGAGGGTGGTTCAAATGCCCATACTGTCACCAAAATAGATTATGTATTATTGAAAAGCTTAATCGAAGATCAAAATTTTGATAGCATCTATAACACACAAGACCCGGACTCTGCCTTGTTAATGTTAAATGAGATAATTTCTGATGCCCTAAATCAAGCAAAAATCCAAAAAACATTTTCAGAAAAAAAAATCAAAAAAGTTAAACCTTGGATCACAAATGGGATAATCACTAGCATAAAAAATAGGGATAAAATGAAAAAAATACTTCTACGGCATAACACTCTGGCGAATAAAACAGCCTTCACACAGTATCGCAATAATTTACATAACTTAATTCAAAAGTGTAAATGTGATTTCTACAAAGCAAAAATTTTGAATAGTGGTACTGATATCAGAAAAATTTATAAAGTTATAAATGAAGCAACGGATTCAAACCCTACTACTCACAACATGAATCTAAAAATAACGCAAAATAATGTTCAGTTTGATAACAGCTTTGACATGGCTAACTTCTGCAATAAATATTTTGTTGATATTGGATACAATATGTATAAAAAAATAAAGTCGCCTCCTAGCCCCCTTCAGATAGAATCAACAGCACCATTCTCTTTGTTTCTGAGCCCAACTAATAAGTTCGAAATAATAAAACAAATAGCCTCACTTAAAAATAATTGCGCTCCTGGTGCTGATGGTATTACCTCTATAATTGTGCTGGATGTCTTTGCTAACTACTTGAGCGACAGAACACAGTCTGTTAGAGTTGGAGATACAATAAGCGACCCTCTTAGTGTTAAGATCGGAATTCCACAAGGTACTGTACTGGGGCCAATTCTTTTTGTGGCATACATCAATTCACTAACTAATATATCAACTCGAAATGGATCAGTAATATCATATGCTGACGACACTGCTGTTGTTTTTTCTGGAGAAACATGGGACTCAGTCAGAGACTTGGCTATTGATGGTATAAGTATAATAAAGCACTGGTTGGACTCTTTTAAATTATCACTAAATGCCTCAAAAACTAACTACATTGCATTTTCACTAACATCTGCAAACCGACCAGAGTTTGACCGTTTGTACATTGACAATCTTGGCAGTCATATAGCTCAAGTTGATAGCACAAAATATTTGGGAATTATAATTGACCAACATCTGAAATGGGATAGACATGTACTTCGATTAACAAAAAATATTAGAAAGTTAATATATAAATTTTATTCAATTAGAGAAATTTTAAACAAACAGCTTTTAATAATGGTATATAAGGGAATTGTTGAATCATTACTCAGATATGGTGTGGTTGTATGGGGTGGACTCTACCAGAACTCATTAGCTGCCTTAAACATTGCACAAAATTATATATTGAAAGTAATCTTTAGAAAGAACAAACGTTTTTCTACTGCCCTGCTCTACTCAAAAGAGGTATTTGATGTGCGTTCCCTGTATTGCCTGTCTACTTGCATATATGTCCACAAATCTGATAAATTGAAAAATTTTATCAGCCATCAATATCAAACTAGAATTAATGTGAACAAATATCTAGAAACACCAATTGTCTCCACAACTAAGAAATTGAGATCAGTATTATATCTTGCACCCAAACTGTATAATCTGTTACCACCTCACATTAAGCAATTAGATCTGAAGCGATTTTGTGTAGCTTGCAGAGATTTCATCTATGTAAATTTAGATACTTTTAAGAACATTTTAAACTAGTGGGTTCTTTGATTGTGTTATCGGTGACTTAGATATTGGATAATTTATTGTGTGCATATATATGTATATATATATATATATAATATACAAGTATATATTGATATATTTTTTCCGCGTATTTTTGAGTGCCCCTTGGATACTTTTTCCTTAAGGAATAGATTTTATTTTATTGTTACTTTTTAAAACATATGCTACTTTGCACATACAGGTATTTAGTTACCTAGGTGCATTATTTCATTGTAGGAATTATACTTATTACATACAATGTTATTACTACATGTACTATATAGTACGTTGAATTGAAATGTAACTAATTAGTATTTAGCATGTTTTATTTTATTCTTATATTGAATAGTAAATAATTATAAAACAAATGTATTATATAAAAATGACGAAAATATTCATTCAGTTGACTCAAAATGTGTGGTCTTTTTTTAAAATGATTTTATTTAATTGCTAATATTGCGTCCTAATCCAATGAATTCAAATTTCTGAACAAATGACTAGGTACTTATTAGTTATTACACAGTCAAATGCTAAGAAGAGTGAAGAAATTGAACAAAACCCTAATCAGCACTACTTGTAGAGATTGATTATTTGGAGAACCTCAGGAAGAACCTTGTATTTTATATAAACTACCTATTGGTCATTAAAAACTATAAATTTTGTTTGTTTTTCAGGAACTCTAAGGCTCCGACACCTTCTCTCACCGACCAAAATGCGCTGGTCCCTGGCAGCTCACGATATTTGCTTCACTTGCTCTCAACACTCGTACTTTTTTGGATTAGGCAAATGTATTCCTGTAATTAGGGGTGCTGGTGTATATCAAGAAGCTGTAGATTTTATGATCGAACAATTAGCCAAAGGCTCGTGGGTGCACATTTTCCCTGAAGGCAAAGTGAACATGACAAAAGAATGCATGCGTCTGAAATGGGGCGTCGGTAGGATGATTTTCGAATCACCAGTACCGCCTATAGTTGTGCCCATTTGGCACATAGGAATGGACGATGTTTTACCAAACGAACCACCTTACGTGCTTAGGTTAAGAAAAAATTTAACTTTTAATTATGGAGATCCAATCGACATGACTGAAATGGTCAGAGCTTTAAAAGCGGCCAATGCTACTGACGAGGAAGCTAGAAAACAAATTACTGATTTTTTGCAAGGAAAACTTCAAGAGCTTAAATTGAAAACTGAAGCTTTACACAATAAATATTTCAAAACGAAATCCTGATATCCGAAGTATTTAGGGTAAGCTTTCTAATGGACTGAATAAAAACTGGTGTTTTTGTATTTTTGAATTAAAAAATACCAATTATTACCAATACATAATACTGATTACGATCAAGCTTGATGAGCCAGTTTCTTTATCATCCAAAGTTTGAATATTTTTAATTTTCTGTTAATGCTTTTCTGTCATAATATCGGTTGCGACACTAGGCGATGTTGCGTAAGTTAACCAAGATTTTTGGTTTTTCCCGTTCCGTAACCTAACCACTCCTGAAATCTGGTTAGGTTTTTGAAATGCAGTTCCTGAAAAATTAGGTCCCAACTGTCAACCGAATCTACCGATCAAAAAGCTTAAATGTTTCGGTTTGTTTTCAATTTGTGCGAACAAGCCTTATATGATACGCTCGAGGGATACACTCAATGAATTACGTATAACCAAGAACTGGAATGCGCAGGCTAATTTTTATATTTGTCAAAAGTGAACCAACAAGGACAAATGCCACAAGACAAGGGGGAATGTTGTTTTTTTTTTGTTGCTCACTGACATAAGTATGACGTTTTGGAAAGTTTCGTTATATTTACCTACACAGGTTTTATTATTTGAAATACGTGTTAAAATCAATTTTCGCCATTTAACATAATGAGTGCGACAAAAACAGGCATCCCCTCTGCAGTAGTGGCACGTGGCTTCACGTTCTTAAATCTGTGATCTGTCTGTGTACTTGTTCCAGTTCTTGGTTATAGTTCATTGGATACACTTTATTATTGGCTACATTTGAATCATGACGTCACATCATCTACTTCAAATTCAATTTTTATCACAAACTTTGCATGTTACTTCATCATTTTCAATGTCCCCTTGGTTGCATCTATGCGAAGGACTGTGAATTTTTTATTTATGGAAGTCCTGTTCAGGAGCAAAAGTTATGCGTCAAATTACTAATTTAACAGAAGGATAAGAATAATTATTATTGGTAAGGAAACTGGCACTAAACAGTGTGAAACATTAAAAGTATTAAGCGTCCTATATAAATACAATATCAAATGAGATTTTATAAAATGGGAGCAATCTTTAGGATTATATTATCATATTTTGGTGTATACCGTATACCTAACTATTCAATATTTTATAATCAATTTGGTTATTTTCTGTTAAATAATAATTAAAGTTCGTTTCACGAGGGTTTATACTTTTGACATCAAAGACATCTTGGTTTAAGAACCGACGAACGTTTTTGACGTCATTAATTTTTTTCAGTCAATTTCTAAAAAAGGAAGGCAAATTATGTCAAATGTATAAACCTATCAGAGAATCATAATACTGTAACGCAATACATAATATACATATGTACATAGATATTATCCAATATATTTTAGTAAAAATTATATTATATAAGACGCTTTTCTACAAGATATCCGTGCTGGATATACTTTTTTCATGAGCTAGTCACAAATTAAGGTTATTGATCAATTTTTTTTGCCATTTTTAAACCATTTTCAGCATTGCTAGGGGCACAAGAGTTTGTTTTTGCTTGAGCCTAATTCTAACTTATGGATGTGAAAAATGTTAAAATCATATACAGAATGTAAAAAATATCCATTGCCATAATGTATGGTTTGGCAGGCTGACAAGTTTCTAATTTTATAATTTTACAAATTAAGTAGGCATAACAAATTAAACTTTTTAAGTGAGAATATTATGGAATTTTCCTACATTCAATCTAAAACCATGTATAAGGGGGTATATAAACATGTATAATGAATGACCAACAAATGATATAGCTGAACTTTGTAAGTAATACATATCACTTGTCTAAAATTGGAAAAAAATCGGTATAAATTATTGTTTTTTGATTGATTTTTTTCGAAGTCATTAACATAAATAATTGTACTTTGGCCTGGTCACTGTATTCACGGCTAATATTTCATAAGTAAACATATTTTTTTTTCCAAAAAAAGTTTACTATACTCTGGTATTTTATGTTGAAATTATTTACAGTGATTTTGAAGAAACAATGGCGACAATATCAAATTTTTGAAATTTATTACTAAGTTTCCAAGGTGCAAGTGCTTTAATAAGTCACCTTCTATAATATAGCACCCATACTTTTTATTTTATGGCGTGTTCATACCAAGAGGATAATGTAATGGTATGGTTGTTATTTCTGTTTCTGGAAAATCAATTGAATTTGAGGAAATTTATATTATTTTTTATAGTGTGTATTATATTTAATTACATAGTTGGAAATTTCACTTATTTATCTATGACATAGGGCTTCCAAGAATTCAAATCAATGCTTATAATGCAGAATAAACACTTTAAACCTCAATTATTCTAAATCTGTAAAACCTATATTCTTTTTACATAAAGCCTGAAATCCAATAAATTGTTAGGATCAGGTATTTTCCCAGGCATTTATTCTTATTCTAAAATCAGTTTCAAATACTACCTAGCTATTCATCTGCCATATTTATTAATTCTTTTGGGGTAAGTGGACTTGAAAAATTTAAATATTGGCCATTCCTACTGTGTAGTTCACAAGAAAAAAAAGATATGTATTATCAAATATGGTTAACATGATCTAGACGACCATTTTGTAAAATTATTGTTGGTCATGAAAAAAATATTGTTTTACTATGAGATATTAGTTTTTCTTTTTAATAATAGCCATAAGTAAATTGTGATTTTTCCCTATGCTTGCTGTAATAATTGGAATCTTGTATTTTTTTAATTTAATTTTAAGCTTAAAATGTATCTTTTTATTTGGCTAGTATAGCTTTTAGCTTACCTAATGAAGACTAAGAGCCATATTAATCAAACTGTATTAGAAAATAAGTCATTACCTTACCATTTTATTATTTGTTATAAGTATTTGTTGAATAATTTTAAGAGTACGAACATGTATTATGTATTTTATTTGAATTTTTTCCTAATGTTAAAAAATTATTACCTACTTTTTGCAAATAATGTTTCCTTTTTTTTATATTATTTATTGTTAAACTTTTGAGAAACTTCCATAAGCATGTGATAACTAATCAATACAAAAGTCTTCATTCATCATTATATGAAATGTTTTATTTATTTCACATCCCTCTGAGTTTGAGTTAACAATACAGTAGCATCATTAAAAAATGAATTTTTTCTCCAAACGTCAAAAAAACATCACTTTGTCAACACCTGTCAAGATGGTAGAAATTCAATTTCTATGTTGCTAGGCAAATCCTGGAGGTTAACACCTATCGAGGTGGTAGAAATTTAATTTCTATGCTGCTTGGCAACCCCAGCGGCAGTAAAAGTACTTTTAGTGCCGCTCGTACTTTTACTGCCGCTCAACCATCCAGTTACCCCCGAGCTTACCACATTCGTTTGGAGAAAAAATAGCGTGTTGCATACGGAGTAGAAGCTTCTACTCCTAATACAACAATATGCTATTGTATATAAGAAGAAAAGTCAAGCATTGCATACATACAGGGTGTCCCAGAATATGTGGGCAATCTCTTGGATTCAGATAGAATACAAAAAAATAACATGACCACTTCCTATAAAAAAAAATCCTAAGGCGGCTACGAAGTTATGTGCCTCTAAAGGACGCCTCTGAAAATCGTTATTTTGTTGATAACTTTCAAAATACTTCGTGTATTTTTTTTTTCTTTTAATATGATGGATACTAGATAAGACCCCTTAAAATGGACCCTTTCAAACATACTTGGCCAAACTAGTTTGCCAGGGACGGACTAACTCAAACACAATAATGCTCCTTTTTTTACACCCTGTATGATAAAAGGCACAGCAATATTATTTTTAGATAGTTTCAACCCTGAACTAGAAAAAGGGTACTCTTATTCGATATCAAAAAAATGAGCGGGTTTCGAAAAAAATCTGTTTTTGTTTATTAATGGTTTTTTATTAAATAATTTTGTATGTCGGCTCAACATGAGCTCCTTCTAATCGTATGAATTCCATACCCATTTTAATGAAAGATTGTTCGACCTTCGTTGATGAAGGGAAAATTATCAAGTGTCGCAACGTACAGCCGAAAGTCGTTTTAAAAACACGCTTCGGGCAAAAATGTATCCCGATGCCGTCAAAATAGTTATAGGGTGTCCACTTGGTGCAATATCGGACGATATCTCCTTACAGAGAGATGCAAGAAAAAAAATATAAAAATTACAAAGTTGTTTGATTCTCTAAGATGCATTAGTTGAAAATATTTTTAAATATACAGGGTGCTCCGTAAATGGGCTATAGGACAGAACTTTGTTATTTTTAAATAGAACACCCTATACTTCAGTACATTAACGTCATTAACGGATCGTTATAAAAGCCTACATACTACATTCCTTTTGTTTTGTTAGGAATCACCTATACCAAAACTCAACCTTTTTCGAAATATTTAATATTTTTTTGAAAAATCGCATTTTGCATGTGTCAAAGCAGGTTGTTAGTGCATACTTACATTTCGTTCATGTTCCTATGAAAATCTGATAACATTCTACAGGGTGTTCGCGATACTGTACACAAAACCAGACATTTCAAACAATCATAGCAAATTTTTTTCAAATGAAATATGCTTTATCTCACTGTATAGTAGTAGGTACGTCGGTACTGGTGAGCCTAACATATACGATGCCTTTGATGCTTTACTTTGTGGAACTTTTTTGAAATTTTGTTGTTATTTATAAATGTAGAGAAAAAAATCTTTGTCTGGGGGGGGGGGTACCCCCACCTCCTCAACCGCCCTTGTAGGGATCAAACAAAAATTCCAGCACCTTGGAAATATTCCATTGTCACGCCACTGTACATCAATGTGAAAAGTAGCAATCGGGAATATCTCTTAGACAAAAAATACTATCAAGATCTCAAAAAAAATCGGGGGAATTGGAGGCTTGGACGGGGAACCAAAGTGAGGCACTTTTTGAGCCACCCTGTCTCACCCTTTAGGGAGTAGCTACCCTTATTTTTTTCAATACGAACCTACCTTGTGCAGCACATCGTTGGATAGCTCGTTGCTTTCCCTCTACAGTCTTATAGTCAAATCTAAATCGTACGATTCGTTTTTGAGATATCAATGTTTAAAAGTAAGCACATTTTGAAAACTAATAATTTTGACTATCTCTTACTAAAAAGAATCCTGTCATAAAAGTCTCAAATATACATAGGGGAAACCAAATGTGTTTATTGCCTAACCCCTACTCCTCTTGTCTGGGGGGCCGCCCCTAATAATTTTTCTAAAATGAGAAATCATTTCATGTGATACCTCCTTTGAAAGGTTTTTATTCCTCTTTCAGAGGCGTGGAGAAGCAGATAGAATCACGATAAACACATTATTATTTAGTCCATGTGTATCTGAGAATCTTATGACAGACTTTTTTTGTTTAGACATTATAGTCAAAAGTAGTTACTATAGTTTTCAAAAATGTTGCTTACTTTTAAAGACCGACATCTCAAAATCTAATCGTACGATTTAAGATTTGAGATGTCGGTCTTAAAAAGTAAGCAACATTTTTGAAAACTATAGTAATTACTTTTGACTATAATCCCTAAACAAAAAAAGTATGTCATAAGATTCTCAGATCCATGTGGACCCAATAATGTGTTTATCGTGATTCTATCTGCTTCTGCACGCCTCTAAAGAGGAATAAAAAACCTTTCAAAGGAGGTATCACATGAAATGATTTCTCATTTTAGAAAAATTATTAGGGGCGGCCCCCCAGACAAAAGGAGTAGGGGTTAGGCAATAAACACATTTGGTTTCCCCTATGTATATTTGAGACTTTTATGACAAGATTCTTTTTAGTAAGAGATAGGTAGTCAAAATTATTAGTTTCCAAAATGTGCTTACTTTTAAACATTGATATCTCAAAAACGAATCGTACGATTTAGATTTGACTATAAGACTGTAGAGGGAAAGCAACGAGCTATCCAACGATGTGCTGCACAAGGTAGGTTCGTATTGAAAAAAATAAGGGTAGCTAGTGTAGCTACTCCCTAAAGGGTGAGACAGGGTGGCTCAAAAAGTGCCTCACTTTGGTTCCCCGTCCAAGCCCCCAATTAGTATTTTTTGTCTAAGAGATATTCCCGATTGCTACTTTTCACATTGATGTACAGTGGCGTGACAATGCAATATTTCCAAGGTGCTGGAATTTTTGTTTGATCCTTACAAGGGCGGTTTAAAGGGGGGGTTAAGGGGGTGGGGGTACCCCCCCAGACAAAGATTTTTTTCTATACATTTATAAATAACAACAAAATTTCAAAAAAGTTCCACAAAGTAAAGCATCAAAGGCATCGTATCGTATAAATATGTTAGGCTCACCAGGGGTCGTATTTTCGAATTCATTCGAGTACATTTCGTATACGAAATTTGATTGACAGCAATGTAAATTAAATGGGGAGTATTCGAAATCGAATCAAATTTCGTATGCGAGAATATTCGAAAATACGACCCCAGTACCGACGTACCTACTACTATACAGTGAGATAGAGGATATTCCATTTGAAAAAAATTTGCTATGATTGTTTGAAATGTTTGGTTTTGTGTACAGTATCGCGAACACCCTGTAGAATGTTAATATTATCAGATTTTCATAGGACCATGAACGAAATGTAAGTATGCATTAACAACCTGCTTTAGCTTATAGGTTCTCCAATGAATGAAATCTGTTGGTTTTTGTTGACACATGCAAACTGCGATTTTTCGAAAAAATATTAAATATTTCGAAAAAGGTTTTGGTATACTAGGTGATTCCTCACACAAAACAAAAGGTATCTAGGCTTTTAGAACGATCCGTTAATGTACTAAAGTATAGGGTGTTAAAAATAACAAAGTTCTGTCCTATAGCTCATTTACGGAGCTCCCTGTATATTTAAAAATATTTTCAACTAATGCATCTTAGAAAATCAAACAACTTTGTAATTTAATTTTTTTTTCTTGCATCACTCTGTAAGGAGATATCGTCCGATATTGCACTAAGTGGACACCCTATAACTGTTTTGACGTCATCGGGTTACTTTTTTGCCCGAAGCGTGTTTTTTAAACGACTTTCGGGTGCAAATTTGGGCGTGGCATCCCAAAAAAAGTTTCGTGTGTTGCGCCACTTGATGATTTGCCCTTCATCTATTACCCCCCCAGATAATCATGTATGGACCGCCCTACATTCCTGTATCACCCCTACAAGCAATAGGCTAATTGTGGCACTACAGTTCTGAAGAAAAATTGTTGGGACTTTATCAGGTCCTGGGCTCGAGTCTTTTTTCATACATTTAAGAGCTTGTTCTACTTTATCAGTTGTAAATAGTATTTCTTCGATAGACCTCTCTACTCTATCGTCATGTACGGCTGGAAATAGATAAGGTTCAGTTGTGAAAGCTGCGTCAGATTGCTGCGCAAATTTATCTGTTATGATGGTTAGGGGCGGATTAAGCTTTTTTTCGCCCCTGTGCGATTAAAATCATTTCGCCCCCTTCCAGGCTCCGGCTTATCATCATCATTTCATTTTTTTTCCATTTGAAGATTATTCTTTAATACAGGGCGTCCATCTATAAACTGACACATTTTACCTGCTCATAAGTCGAGAACGAAAAAAGATATCGATATTCGGTATGCAGTCTCCACAGAACTTCATCAATTTTTATGGTAGTGTTGCCCAAGGAGAATACACACTCTAAGGAGTGCTTATCGGCCTCGTTTTTGGTAATCGCCGCCATATTGGTTTTCAACCATTGCCGACGTCATAACTAAGCCGACAGCTGTTTAAACAGCCTACCTCAAGGCGAGAAACGCCATGCTGCTTATGTCACAAGTGGTTGTTTGCTGGAGGGGGGTAGAGGGGGATTTGTTACACACAGGCCTTATGAGGATAAGCCATCCTGTAGTAGTAGTGTGTATCATCCTTGAGTGTTGCCAAGTTTCAAAATTTACCTAAAGTAGGAGGAGAAAAATTGATGATTTTCAAAGGCCGATTTCGAAAAAGTTTTAAATGGAACACCTTGTACTTTTTAATTTTCCATGAAAGCCTGTCAACTCTTAATTCTTTCTGAAAATCCATAAAT